TCCATCCATCCATCCATCCATCCATCCATCCATCCATCCATCCATCCATCCATCCATCCATCCATCCATCCATCCATCCATCCATCCAGACTGGGAGTGCGTTAATTATTTAGATACTGAGTTTTGTTTTAAATCAGGTCATTTTTTTGTACAATCATAACGTTTTTTATAGATCTGGAATTTTATTTTTTTTTTTTACTTTTTCACAGCCCCATGGGTTGGACATTAGGATGGTTACTAAAATCATATGTACTGCAGGGGATTAAAAACAAATTCTTCTACACCAAATCACTATTTGACTATGAGAACGGTTATAAAAATCTTTGTTATTGTGGAATCATAACTCTAAGTTTCTTCTAAACAACAAACTGTGTAAAAAAATCCTATATATTTTTGTATGCCTTAATTGTTGCCCCCATCTGGTCATCAACGTAATGGAGGTCCTTTTATGAGTTTCAAATGCCTGGAATGTTAAAGACATGAAGCATCAGTTTAAGAGGTGTGCATGGAAAGATCAGCTAAAGACAGCCTTATTTTGTCTCTTAATCTGTTTCTCTTTTACCTTTGCATTAAATAAATCACACTACAATCATTTGAATGTTGTTTGTTCAATCAGTAAAATCAATATTTTGATCAACTAGAAATTTCTTCTGCTTTTACAGTGTGAGTCCGCAGGTTTCTACTATTTTATTCTTATCATGTAAAACAGTGTTATATATATTTTGAATATCAATAAAGTCCACTAAGGGCTTTTGTAGTTTCTTTAAACAAGCAGTTTAAGCAAGTTTTTCAAATATTGTTCATCATGAGACAAATGGTTAGATACTGGAATTAATCCTTTACATGGCAAACAAACTCAATAGGACTCACTTTGTTTGCCATGTTGAGAAGCCACATTTTGCTCAGTTTCTAACATTATTCCCAACTGTTTTTGTAACTTGATTATTAGCTAAATGTTAATATGAAGTGTGTTGTGGACTATTTTAACAAACGTTTAACTTTGGCACAAAATGCAACATTGCTCCACTTTACCAAAGAACACCAACAATACGGTGAAATAATGTTCTAACGTTGTCTTCTCAGGAGATCATTGAATTCTTGCCAATGTGAATAAATATGAAATTTTTTTTAAATACAAGTCATTTTGGTTTCAACATTTAGGTTTTAAATAATAAGTTGGAATTTGCTTTGCATTGAGTCTAAGTATTTAATCAATAAAAGGAAGATTGTTTTTTTTTTTTTAAGAATGGAATTAAAGAGATGAAATGGCTGAGTCCAGAACCAAAATGTGTAAGATCATCTAAAGAGGTAATGGAATAAGAGACGTCTACACAAGGTGATAATTTAAAAGTAATAACACAAAACCATGAGAGGTGGGAATGTTAGAATGCACCAAATTAATGGTCTCCCAGCAAAGTGGATGGAAAACTGGAACTGATTCAGTCTATTATGCTGTTTTGTTATAGCTAACAAGTATGAGACTAAAATTGCTTATTTTCATTTTTCGAGCAAATTTCTGTTTCTTATATGACACTAACCTGAGCACTGTATTCTTATGCTGATGCATAAAAATCATAGGCAAAAATAAATCAAAGACAAAATCAATCTCTGTGTTAATTTGATATCGTGATCCATTTGGTAAATAAAATGACCAAGAAACTCCACTAAATATTAGTTTTCAGTTATATTCAGAGTATTAAATGTAATTTTATGTACAAGTTTTATTGTTTTCTGAGATGTATTTGTGATTTAAAATGTGTTTTGTTAAGTTTTTATATCTATATTTTTAGCAGTTATATAATTATTATTATTAATGTTCAAATGTATATAAATATATATATATATATATAGTTTATTAATGAATTCAAACTGCTTAAATTCTGGCTTTTTTTTTAGAAATGTTTTTTCTTTGATACATTTTCGGTTTAAATTGTAAGAAGCTTATTTTATGTCCTTAAATATTTCCGGGGTACAACGCTGACTGTCAGTGGTGTTGGAAGATGTCAAATAAGGATAAAGAAATAAAGAAAAATGCTAATTATAACAAAAATATTAGAAATGTTCGCTCTTTCAAGGTGTCATCATGTGGTAACTCGTGTCACCTGACAGGCTGAAACAGTTGAGCAACTCGGAACCCTTCTCGTTTCTAATGCCCCCTCGCGAGAGCAGCGGTTGGGCTCTTTTTTCTGATTGGATGTTGCTGGGATACCTTCTAGATTGACAGCACCCCTCTTCCTCTTAGTACGCTGATGCGCAGAAGTTGCTAGTCACAGGAGCCACAATGGCGATTGTAGTCTCCTTCAGCTAGGGCTGTGGATGATACGAAATCCACCAGCATCGCCCTAAATATAGGCCTGGTTGATTTCCAGAGCCATTAATAATAAACAGGAACATCTACTACACACGAATATACTATGATTTCTGATCAATATCCAGTCTATAGGGGATAAAACTTACATTAAAGGGAACATGTAAACAGCATCAACCGGGTCAAGTTTTCATTTTGTTGGAGAAACGAGCGTCTTTTACTCAAGGCGTTTGCTTGTTTCTGAAAGCTTAGACCGTTATTCTGTGGAATAAAAGTACGTTTTCTTAACTTGGCACCGGACAAGGACAGCTTTCACAAAGGGACTATTTTTCTTTTTTAGGAGCCTGCTCGCTAGCCGTCGAGCATTAGCTAGCTGTGCTAGCTACGTTGAGACGGACGCGACACCTCAATGCTCCTATGTTGGGTTTGGACCTTCTTCCGCTGAGTGACTCGGGGGTTCAGATTCAGCTGCATAGGAAAACTACCTTGGATTTATTTTTATTTTATTTTTTTGTGGCAAATTACACCGGTGAGCAAATGGAATGAATTGGCGCCGAGGAGGACTGTACGTGAGCGGCCTTGAGTGTTTATTTTGTGCTTGTGTTTGTTCTGTTCATGCTTTTCAAAGCTTCTTTCGACATTTGAAGTAGCCGTTTTTTTCTCGTGGATGAATCTCTCAGAACACGGAAGCCGGCGTGAGGTATGCCAGGGTCCGACCGACACCATGGGGCCAGGAAGACGGATTCGAGCGGCGGAGCGCCACACCAGAACCAAGGCCCTGCTCCTATCTTCGAGGGAAACATGACGAGCAAAGACGGTAAATCGCTGCTTAAATCTTCAATGTCAACTTCTTCGAAACGAAAGCGGCACAAATCAAACAAATCCAATCGTGAATCCTCGGGAGTACCGGGACAGACGGGCTTTGCCCCCGGTAACACGGCGCCTCCTGGTGTCAACACGGTGAAGCCTCTGGTGGAGTACGACGACATCAGCTCCGACTCGGACACTTTTTCCGACCCCCCTTCCTCCAGGCCTTCCGAGAGGGGGGGCGCGGATCGGCTGGATCTCTCGCCTTCACCTGAATACGAAGTAGAGGATGTCAGCAGGAAGAACAAGGGTCAAAGACACCCCCGTAAAAAGCCGAAAGACCCGAATAAAGTTAGAGACCCTGGGAATGGGGAGCGTGGGTACAAGAAAAAGAGCAGCAAAGATCGCGAAAAGGGCAACTCTGGGAAAGCCAAGGAAAAGACTGCTTCATCTGGATCCTCTTCCAAACACCAGCTCCAACAGGATGGCGACACAAAGCGCGTTGAATCGGCACTTTCTTTACAGACTGTCGTCAGTGTGGGCAGCACCCCATCCTCTACATCTTCATCTCGCAGTAAGGAGAGCAGCCGCTCAGGGAAGTCTCACAAAGAGAAGCAGCAGAGAAGAGAAGGCCGAGGAGAAGGGAACCGCAGCTCCTCACACAGGAACCGGACAGACAGGACTCACCGCAAGTCCTCCAAGAGCCACAAGTCAAGCCCTAAGGGGAAGTCTTCAGGCAGAGGGAGCCCCCGCAGAAAGAGCGCCGGCTCTGCTTTATTATCTAGTCCCAGAAGAGGCAGCGAGAGTCCGCTGGGGGGTAACTATGGGCAGCAGGGGGATGACGGTTACTCCAGGCGGAGGCAGGCCCAGAAGAGCCCGAGCCCCTATGGGGATCTGTCTCGCCGCAGCAGGCAGAGGTCGGGCAGTCCTTATGGCAGCAGGCACAGGTCCTCCAGCTTTGAGAGGGACTCCAGCCCTTATTCCAGGAGGCGATCCATCAGCCCCTACGCCAGCCGCAGGTCGTCCAGCACAAGCCCCCTGTCCCGGTGAGTAACCTTAAAAAACCTTGGAAGACTTTGAGCCTTTAAAGGCAGAAATTAAACAAGTTTAAAGACTTGTGTAGGTCTAATTATCCTTGCACTAAAAAGCTTTGCTTAGCCTGCACTATATCATGTAAACAATACTTGATTTGGTATTTATGTCTTGATTGAACATGTCAGTTTAACTCTTTACAGATCAACTTACCCTTTTTGTTCACTTGCATACAAATGGAGTCCTCTGTGAAGTCTAGAAGCACAAGATCTATATCCAGCCATTCTGCAAAGATGCTGCTACATGGCTGCACATCTTATTTTGACATTTGACCAATTAGATGAGCCCTTTAATAATTTATTACCTACTGTAAATTAAGTTGGGAAAAAAGCTAATTGAAAACTTAAGAAGTTACTAAGCCTAGTTAACAATTATATTTAGGTGTATGAACAAGTGGCAGAAGTATCTGCATTAATGCCTCTAAGGTTATGTTGTACCAAAAAGACATGTTTCTTTCACTCTCGGAGTGTTTTTCATGTATGTCTTATAGAAGCACTTTAGTTATTTTTTTGGTGTTTCTTGTTACGTTAACATTAATCTTTGCCATCAAAATATCCATATTTTTTAATCTTACAAAGGTTTAAGGTCTTGTCCTCGATTCCAATAACACTATTGGCTTGAAACTTTGATTTTCAAAGTATTTCACTGAGAGCACTATAATGGGTTAATGTTTAGGCAATAAAACTGCTTTGTGTGAGAAGAAAAATCCGAATAATAAAAGGTTGAAATTTTATTTTTAGGTTTATTTACATATTCATCTGTTGCCATTGAATTTCCAAAGTTAATCTTCGCTATTTTCAACCACTATGTTTTTTTTTTTCTTTTAATAACTGTTTCGTTTTAAAATTTCTTTTGCCTGTTTATTTTTCAGACGCTCAGCTCGTTCCAGAAGTCGATCTCCGCTGTCCTACTCCTCCCGTCGCTCCTCCTCACGTTCACGCAGCAAGCGGCATACCTCTTCAGCTTTAGGAGGTGGCAGCTCCCACAGCAGTCATCCAGCTAGCCGCTCCTCTCCTTCCTCTCGCCTGCCCCTCAACTCCAGCTTGGGTGCAGAGCTTACCCGCAGAAAGAAAGAGCGCCTGGCTGCTGAGGCGGCTGCTCGTGGCAACGCCAGTGGCACGGCTTCCCCTCTCCCACCCACCCCAAAACCCGGAAGCTCCACATCAGCACGGCCTGCTAAAACGGAGTCGCCGCTGGTGGAAAGAGACTCTATAGCAAAGGTGGAACCTCAGGCTCAAGCAACTGCACAAATATCCTCCGATACTCCCAGGAGTGAAGATCAAGTTACGGCACCTTTACCTTCCTCCCCTACCTGTTCCCCTGCTCCTCCTCCTCCTGAGCCCTCCCCTCCTGCGCCCCCCTGTCCTGTCACCCAGGTGCCACCACCTCCCCCTCAGCCAGAAACGGTTAACCTGCCTGGCTCGCATCAGGCGAAATCCCCAGGTTATCTTCCCACACGCAGTCCTGTTCGGCAGACACCACTCCACAAGACCTCAACTCTACCGCCTCTGCCCTTACCCCCTATGCTACTGGCAAACACTCAGGACAGGTGAGGCATCTCAAATGGAAACAGTGACTGTGTTTACTACACATAAAGTTTGATATGCACCTGTACCACTTTTCTGCAGAAGTTTAAAACTATTCCCACTTATTCTGATTTTGAATCTTAGCTTATTTTGTTGTCTTTCCACTGCTTGTAAATGACATGGACAAGCACAGATGTGTTTAAGAAAAGGGAGAAAAACTAAAGTAAATATTCTTAAAAGGTTCAAAAGCCTAAATAGATGGCACCAAAGTTACTTTAAAGTATTATTAGGAAAATGTATATAAAGATATTTGCATGTACTTTTGTTCTGAATCTGACCCAGTTTAAGCATAGGTTGTTCCTAATTTTACACTGAGCACTTCTTGTTGTTCTCATATTCTTTCAGTTCCGTCAATCAAAATGTATTTCTATAGTATAGAAGCCATTGAATATTTAAAAATAGTTATATCTATACCATATGGGACATTTGTACTTGTGTGAGCATTTTTTTGTAAGATGTCTTCTGACTTTCTTGAAAAACCAGACAAATTCTTTTCTTAATGAGTTTGCTTTGCTCCGTCAGTCCAAAGAGATCCACCCCTCCCCAGAGGCCACAGAGAAAGGAGAAGACTGTGAGCAGCCGGCCTTCCCTCATTGATCTTCCTCTACCGCCCACTTTGCCTGGAGCCGACTCGTCGCCCCCTCAGTCTCCTGTCCGTCAGCCTCCCCCTGTACCCCAACAACCCCTCAAGAAGAGACCAAAGTTAGTCTCTCTCATAAAGCACCAATTATCTACTGGGTGGTCATTAGCCTCAGATTTAGTTCTTATTTTTAATTTTTCCTTAATTTTCAGGATCTGTTGCCCACGATATGGAGAGAGAAAACATAACCTGAGCGACTGGGGCAAACGCTGCGTAGACAAATTTGATATAATTGGGATTATAGGTGAAGGCACATATGGCCAAGTGTACAAGGCGAAGGACAAAGACACAGGTAAGCTAGACATGAGTCACGCTGCAAAAATCTATTCCTTTAATGGGCTTTATTCAAAATGTGGTTTGCATTACTTGCCTCTCTTTAAAGGGGAACTTGTTGCTTTGAAAAAAGTGCGTTTGGACAATGAAAAGGAGGGTTTCCCCATCACTGCCATAAGAGAGATAAAGATCTTAAGGCAGCTCAAGCATCGCAGTGTTGTCAACATGAAGGAAATCGTCACCGACAAGCAGGATGCCCTTGACTTTAAAAAGGATAAAGGTAGGCTACTGTAGCTATGAAGCTAATACAAATGATTTATTTTTTATGTAAATTCAGATTTCCTGTTATTATTCTCTCTACTAAGGATGATATGTAGCAAGGTGATGTCTGAGAACATGGGTAGTTTGGTTTCAATTCCCTTTCATACCTTTCATATTAGTTTGTTTTAGGGAGCTGGATGCTTTGGAAAGCTTTATCAAGCTTTGCTCGTCTGATGGATAAACACACACAAAAGCAGCTGGCCTTTTACAGGCTCTACATGGTCATTTTACTGCACTGACAAATGCTACAGTCACACTGCAGCCTTAAGTGACCCAAATCCGATTATTTGGCCGATATGCGACCCGGATCTGATCTTATCGTGGCAGTCTGAACAACACAGATCCAATTTTTCCAATCCCACCCAGGCTACTTGGCTTTGTGGTCCTGAATCCGATACGAATCCGTCTTTTCAAATGCGACCTACGTCTGAACAGCCAGGTCACATTCATCCGACCTGAACGCCATTAGTAACCGATATAGGTCACTATTCTGCGTCTTGCTACATAGAAGCGGCAAGAAAAACAACAACCATGGCAGACGATGGTGTGGAGAGTAGTATATTTTTTAATCATCTTAAATAGATTGAGGTTTTAAGGTTTGGAAAGATCGCTAGATGCGCTCCAGCACTACATCCATGTTTACTTCCGTGAACACAAAGCATGCTGGCTTGTGACGTCATTGCGTCCTCTACTGTGCACGCGGGACACTTTAGCTGTATGAATGCAGTTCACACATGAAATCACATACAAGTCACGTATATTTGGAAATGTGAACAGCAACACAAAAAAAATTGGATTTCACAAAAAAAAAATTGGAATTGAGCATCAAGGCCTGCAGTTTGAACGTAGCCAAAGAGGTTTAACATATCTTGATGTTTGCTAAAGTCATAGTAGCTTTTTCTCAACTGCAGTTCTTAAATTTCTATATTTTGGCCAATAGACCCTGAAGAAAATCCTCCTACATTTGTGGATCACTTACTTTTTTTCTGCAGTACAAAGTCCTGCTCATTGTTGCTGCATCAGAATGGAAACTATAGTTGGAATAATTTAGATTAATCAATTATTTAAACAATAATGGAGAGGACTGACTCTAACGAATGCCAGCTAAAAGAGGAACCCCCTTAGTAGCAATTGTTCCAAAATTGAAAAAGAAAGGAAAAAATCTCATTTTAGAAACATATTCAGTCTGATTTAAGATTAATCTGATTTAAATTCTGTATAAAATCATCATCTTTAAGACACCTTTTGCTATTCAATGATGAATTGATTCATTGGGAAAGATCATTGACAGATTATTTGACTGTCAAAATAATCTGTAGTTTCAGCTGAAGTATTTTTCCTTTGATAGAATTAATGAACATCCATTCATCCATCTACAGATTGGGCTAACAGGTTTAAGAGGAAAGCCCGTCCTTCTGCTCACCTTAGCTGTGATCTTTCTGAGCTGATGCCATGTCTGTTCTTCTGTATTTGCTCTTAGGTGCATTTTACTTAGTATTCGAGTACATGGACCATGACCTGATGGGCCTTCTTGAGTCGGGCCTGGTCCAGTTCTCCCAAGAACACATCCGTAGTTTCATGCGTCAACTGATGGAAGGTCTGGACTACTGTCATAAGAACAACTTCCTGCACAGGGACATCAAATGTTCCAACATACTGCTCAACAACAGGTTAGAGAAAGATGAAAACTGGAGTTATGTGGAGGTGCTGATCATTTGTGGACAGTTGAATTGTTTTATTAGTAACTGCTGATGTTTATGGTTCTTTTAGGATTTTTAACTATTTCTACAACTTGTCTGGTCAATCGTTTCCACCCTAATGTGGTGTTTTCCTTTTGTATTGTAGTCTGAATGAGACAAAACAGATCTACGGCAATATGAAAGTTTTGAGATGATTGTTGTTAAATTCCTAATATGCAGTGTTGGCGTCTCTGTTTGCAGAGGTCAGATCAAGCTGGCAGACTTCGGTTTGGCTCGACTTTACAATTCTGAGGAAAGGTAAGGGATTTCTCATTCTTTTTATTTTTTAAATTTTTTTTTTTTTGTCTTGTATTCAATATACAAACATCTCCTCAATTCCATCTCCAGGACATAAAAGCAGTAGAACTACTCCTGCTTCCAGCGTAACTTAATAAAATAATTTGTTTATTTGATGCCTCTGCCTAAGGGCAAGCATACACTGTACCATATTTTCAATCTTTGCAGTCAGCTATAGCTAAAACTGAATGACGAAATCGCAGGGTTTAAAAGTTCACCCCTCACGATGTATGTACACTGTACGGCCCGGCGTTCTGATGATTATTTGGAATTAAACGATTTTTGAAATAATTTACCAACTTCATAATCGATTAATCGTTAAATGGAGTATAGAGACTCTAAAACGAACCTTTAGCTGACAGAGCGACCCCCCTTGGGCAACAATTATACCATAATTGTGGAAACAAAATATGTAAACATTTTGCATTTAAATCAACTTTTCTGTCTGTCAACATGCTCTATACAGAACTCCTCAACTGGGAAGGTTTTAGTTTCACCGGGTTTGATTTAGCAAAAATCTTCAATAAACATTTTGCTAATTAATTAGTAATGAATAATTGAAAAAAATAATCGACAAATTAATCAATTTGCAAAAAAATCGTTAGTTGCAGCCCTACTCTGATGCGATCTACCTGCTCACAATGTACGTCCAAATACCACACTTCTAACTCAGCGCCGAGAGATGGAGCTGGTCTCACTCGGCCATCTGGAAGCCAAACTGAGACAGTAGAAGAAGAACTATTCCCCTGTTTACACACGAGCTGTTGGCGGACTTCAGGTAAATTGGCTTGTAGCTCTGCCTCAACAGCAGGATTCGCTGTATCATGGAGAATTCTTTTTTTTCTCCATGCCTTACTGTTCCTGATAGTGATGTGATTGTGAGAGGCTAATCACTCCTTGTTACCCCCTCTATACTACACGATGCAGGAAGCACGTTGAGGCTGAAACTCCTTCTCGCATAACTTGAGAATCGTCCCGAAAAGGGCACAGTCACATACATTGTATGCCTGCCCTAACTAGATAAGGTAAATCCTGTCTGTTGTGGTGTTTTGGTGCCAAGGCATACATCAAAAAGTCCACTAGTCAACACGTCGACTTAATTTAGCTAATTTGATCTGCGTCTGGAAAGTTTAACACACACCCCGCCCTCGCGCAAGGGGTGTAGACCTGCATGGTGGTGTGCAAAACTGGTCTCTTATTAGTTTGTTCTATGGACTTCGTAGAGCAGACACTGCAGTCAGGAATAAAAGCTGGATTAAACCTTCCTGATATAACCAAGCCCAACTCTGCAGCAAGACCTATTGTAAGTAATTTTGTCCGCCCTCGACTTCATGCGATTACGTGATAGAACTACGCATCGACTCAACTTTTACTGTAAAATAGTCGACTTGGGGAAAAAAAATCCAGAATCGTTAATGCCCTAGTTGGTGCATGGATGTCATTAACAGCTGAAGCACTGCAGATCTACAGGAATATATTAAAACCCTCTGCTGACGTTCACATCTTTTCTGACTGTATGAGTTTCTGTTTAAACTTTCAAGCATTTTATTTAATTTTTTGTAAAATGTGTTATTCTCCAGTAGATGGAGCCACAGTCCCCTAAACGTGCAGCTGAAATATCTGTTTGGCCACATGGCGGCCTAACATTATCTTTCTTCCCCTGCAGTCGACCATACACTAATAAAGTAATTACACTATGGTACCGTCCCCCTGAACTGCTGCTTGGCGAGGAGAGATACTCCCCAGCCATCGACGTCTGGAGCTGTGGGTGAGTCTGAAACTGTCAAAACATCCAATCTCTCTCTATTCAGTCATAATCCAGTCATTTTTATTCCAAATGACTCTAGAGGAAAATTACTTTTACAAGAAAAAAGCCTGTTATTTTTTCTAAAAAAAAAAAAAACAGGTTGTGATAGTAGTTTAATAAATGGTACTGTAGTTTCTAAGTATAGTTAAATCTTATTGAATAGTCACTAAATATAAAAACAGATGTTTTCATAGCACTTCTGCAATACAAGATACAAAACTGGTAATTTAGAAGATTAATTATGGGCATATTGTTGGTATATCTTTGGGGAGCTGGATTCATTTTTAGCTCAGCTCGATTTTATCTGTTGTAAATAAGTATGGATGCTCCTTTAGCAGCTTTTCTGTCATGGTAACAAAAACAAGGTATTAAATATTTTTTTGCAATCACTGTAAAATATATGGTATTTTCTGCAACTGGCTAATTAAGCTGAAGCTGGCATTTAATTAGCAAATTCTTGTTTGGCAGTTCATTCGAACAATCTGGAATCGTTTCATCTGTAGCTGAAGCTAAATTGCTAAGTTGTTAATCTTGTTTTTTTTATTTAGTTCCTTCAAAACATGGTGTGAAATAATAAGGCTTTGTTTTTATAAAAAAAATAAACATGACTGATAATTAAAATACTTTAGATTGGGGCCAGTTTTAATCGCCTTGGTTATAAAAACAGACTAGTTAAGGCTTTATTCTTTTTTTTTTTTTAAAACACAACAAAATGCTCTAAAATGTTAAAACTTAATAGTATAATGTTCTGAACCAGTATTTTTGTGTATTTTTCTTAAGTGTGCAAAATGATCAATATGAATGAGCAAACAACACTGCAAATAGTTTAAATATTTTAATAGAGAATATATTCTTCTGAAATCCTGAAAAGCTTGTTTTATGTATTTTTTTTGGGAAGGGGGATCTGATAACATTTTAATTTGCCATATTACATTAAATGTTTCTACTTTTAATCTGGGCTGCCTGGCCTAATGTGTTAGTTTGTGTTCTCCATTTATGTGTATTATGGTTTGTGTGTTCAGGTGTATTCTTGGAGAGCTCTTCACTAAAAAACCCATCTTCCAAGCAAACCAAGAACTTCTACAACTGGAACTCATCAGGTACAGATATTTCTGCAGCTGCATTGTATCTAAATGGCTTTAAAGACCATGGCTCCAATATTCAAACCTCTAAATAAACCAGATCGGTTTCAGGACTTCTCAACAGAATCAACGAGAATCACTGCTTTCTATAGTCTTTCATGAAAAAAAAAAGTTGGAAAAGTCATCGTTATCCTGCTCAGGATCAGTAAAGAGGGAATTAGTGGGTCCCAAAACATGCTTCTTTCTTTTAGGCTTGCAGTAATGGTTTAACTTCCTCATATATGTGGCTATTATTTTAATTCTTCCATCTTCAGACTCATCTGAACCCAGATGGCTGTACTGCTGCTGTCTTCCCAATGATGGTGTTATGATGGTCCTGTTTGGCTTGGAGTTTAGCCTCAGCAGTTGCTGTATAGTCAATGATCTTTCAAACATTACTTATGTCTTAAAGACAATTTAAACAGTTTGGTCTGGTTCTCAAAAAACTAACTTTCAAACATATTTATGTAACCTGAGGGTTATGTTGATTCTTAGGAATAATGAACTAAATATAGAGCAGTGATGTTGGAGAATTTTCCAGGTATATGACTTCATATCAGCTGAGCTGTTTTGTACTCTAGGCATCTCACACATGCAGCCATGCCACAGCGTCACATTCAGACATTGGACATAATGAACCCTCAGTTGGAAAGTTAGTTTCAAGAGCTGTTTCTGTGAGAATGAAAGGAAATTGGCTCATTTAACTGCAGAGTTGATAAAACATTTAAACCATCATATGTCTTTAACCAATTTCTATTTAGTGTAGATTTTTATTTTTGGATTATGTTTCCTGCAGCCGTCTGTGTGGAAGTCCTTGTCCTGCAGTGTGGCCTGATGTCATTAAACTTCCTCTATTTAACACCATGAAACCTAAGAAGCAGTACAGACGGCGGCTAAGGGAGGAGTTCGCCTTGTAAGTAGCTTTTCTGTAGTGATGTGAAATTTCTTCTCTTTTACTTGAGGTAAAATATCTCCCTTTTCATTCAGTTTGCCGACTCCTGCTCTGGACCTGCTGGACCGAATGTTGACCCTCGACCCTTCACGTCGCTGCACTTCGGAACAAGCTCTTCTAAGCGACTTCCTTACTGACATAGATCCTGGCAGAATGTCGCCGCCAGAGTTAGTAGCACAAAGACTTTAACCTTCATTTCTTAAAGAAATCTTGTTGAGGCATTTATGTATCTGTGCTGCCTACAAATCTTCCTTCCTTTCTTTTTTTTTTTGTTTACATGCCAACTATTTCAAATTATTTTTTAACCCGGTCTTTGCTTCCTTTGTCCAGTCTTCCCCATCACCAGGACTGTCATGAGCTATGGATTAAGAAGAAGAGACGTGCGCGGCAAAGTGGGTTGTCTGAGGATGTGCCTGTGCCCAAAGTGCCCCGTAAAGATACAGCTGGGACCTCCAGTGGAGAAAACAGCCGACCCCAAAGCAGCCCACCTGGAGCTCCGCCCCCTCCACCAGGAAAGCCGCCCTCCACAGCCAAATTAGAGGGTGAGCTGGCAGGTAACCCATCAGATTAAGAAAAGACTTCATGTTTTTATCAACTGTTGATGATTTTTACAATTTATTCATATTGATAATAAATAATATCTGAAATCTATAACGGAACAAAAAAAAATAAAAGTCACAAAACATTAAACAAACAGGCTAATTAAAAAGGTCCACAAAGCAGAAGGAAATGTTTTAACATTTGAACAAATTTACTTTCAAAATGTGTTTGCAGCTTAGAATTGCATTAATGTGGTGGGATTTAAAAAAAAATAATGTGTTAAAGAAATGGAGCATGATGATTCATCTCGTGCATTTCGAACAGAAGCTCTTATGCTTTTTTCATTCGGACTGGATTGTCAACTGGAGAGATTGTTGCACCTTTAGTTAGATGGAAACGATGCATGTTTATTTTCTACCCTGCAGCTTCATACTAAACCACCCTTGGATCAGTTCTGGTGCTTGGGCATCTGGGTAGCATCTCAAACCTTTGGCATTGACGCTTAACTCAATGGCCACCAAAGACGACAGTAATGATACTGTTTTATCAGCAGCTAAAAGTTCACTTTGCATTAAAAAAGTCCACCTGTATTTGTTTTCATGAGTTTAAAACTCTTACTCTGGTTCTGACCAGCTTGTTTTGCTCTGGTGCTCACAGATATCAGTGATTAGTCAAGCACAGTATTAGCGAATGGAATCAGCTTGAAGTTTCACTGTTTCCAGATAAAAATAGGTTTTTGCCTTGGAAGAATTGACATCACCCCAGTAATGTAGCTCTAAATCTGTGTATATAGTTGTTTTTTTTTTGTTTTTTTTTTCCTGAATATGAAACTGAACCCTCAAAGGTCATGATGGCACATGCAGTAGTTAGTATTTAGTTAAAATACAGATTTAGTCTGACCTTATATTATCCCAACCACTGTCTGTATCTTAAAGGGGTCATAGAATGATTATATGCCAGGGTGACCAGACGTCCTTTTCATACCTAAAAAAATGTCCCGGGGAAATTTCAAAATCGGCCGGGATTTTGGTCGACTACAGTGCATCAGAACCGAGCCGTGAGCTCCAGTGCTGGTTGACGGAGCGACCGAACCCGACCCGGTGACGGTAGCCTGGACAACGGCGACCCAACAGCCTCATACTTCCAGCTTGCAGTTTTGATGGCCGTACGGTCGGAACAGCCCCTCATTTCAGTAAAAGAAGTTTAGCAAATCCTGCTTTGAACTGTCCAAGATTTTGAAAGCTGTCTTCGGTAAAATGCTTAGAGCGAATGAAAAGCTGAGCATCAAACTTTGCAGAGATCTTCTGTTAGACAAAAATAATCTATGCCTGTCGAGTCTTCGGATCCTTGGGAAGACTGAAAATATTTTCATTCTCCATGCAACCTGGAACACTGCATTTACAATAGCGAACCAGTGGGCTGGTCTGTATGTCAATTTTGGAGAGTGACAAAAGTACAGGCCAGAACCAAATAAGGCAACATCCCCGAATGGAAGTCGATTCGGTGCTCTGTTTGGGTTCACCCGTTTTTATGGTAGAAGTTTAGAATTGTGAGATTTGCAGAGAAAGGAGGTGTCGATGGGGTTTGAACTTTTCTATAAGTCCATTTCACCCACTGAACTATCGTTATTCATCTATGACAATGTAAACTCGGTTTCGCATTCTATGACCCCTTTAAATTGTAAATGTCTTTTGTCTTTCTGTCCAAAATCAAGAGTCCGCAATCAGATTCTAGTTGGATTCGTGGAATTTGTTTTGAAATTCATTAATCAGTCTTTTATTCTTTAAGGTATTTGTTATAAAAGTGTTTTTTACTGTTTCCGATTCATGTTTTTGCTAAAAGAAGGTGTATTTTCAGGTGTTGGAGCCGCTGCAGAGCAACTGAATCAAACAGAGCTGGCCGTGCTGCTTAACCTCCTCCAGGGACAGACTGACCTGAATCTGCCCCAAGTGGCCCAGCTCTTTAACCTATCTGAAATAGAGACTGTTGGCCAGTTGATATCAACTCTTAGTGAGGCTTCTGAACACCAGGGGGCTCCAGAGGACCAGGCTCAGCCTCCTGCTATGTCCCAGCCCCCAGAGCCGCCTCCTGAACCCCAGGAGGCCTCACCCACATCTGGAGAAGCTCCTCTCAGCCAGGAAGACCAGGCCAGCCTGCTGGCTCTCATTCTGGGTCAAATCATAAAACCGCAAACCGAGGAGCAAAGCGATGAAAGCAATGGCGTGAAGTCAGAGGAGGCACTTGCGCGCGGTTCGTCCGCTTCTACTACTGATTCCAAGGGCAAGTCTGGGTTTAGTCTTTAGAAAAAGAACAAAGGAAACCAGAGTCTGGAGAGAAATCCTTAAAATGTGGAAAGCAAAGGAAAACTGTACCTATAAACTTTTTTTTTAAGTTAGATTTTAGATGACCTGATGGAATGAACAATTATCCAAATAAATCTGGCTATTAGACCAATCAAACGTCAATCCATCAACTGTTATTGACAAATACTCATTTTAAGCACCTGTCTAAGAAAAATAAAAGCAAAAGAAACCTGTGAAAACCTCTTGTGCATTGGCTGTCATGTGACCAGGTAAAAGTCTGTGGACACGGACAGATCATAACAGGAGTTCTGAGTAAAACCAAAACACAGTAAAGTGATTTTCAGCTAAGCAAATAAAAAAAAAAGGTTCCCACTGTGTTGTCCCCCATGAAATCTCCCTCTTGTTTCTTTCTCACTGTCTTTGTTTCTCTTTCATTTTTCACGTGTTTTATCTTCACTTCATTTTCATCATCAAGGTGTTATTTGCAGAAAAAGAAAAACGGTCTGTAATGTCAGGATTTTTATGAAGAAAGTCTAATAAATTATCAAGTGAAAATAAATACGTTGATTCTTTTAGATCTCACCTGCATGTTTTTTTTTTTTTTTTGTCACTTTCTTATAAATATTCACTTAGTTATTACTTAAAATGTTAATCACTGGTGACATTAGGCTGGTTACAGGCCAGGGGGATTGAATAAATGCTAATAGTCACACCTTGGTCTACCTCAGACTTTATTGTTGAATAAAGGCCCCACATTGGTGCTTAGATCTCATCTCTCTTTTTGCACAAGTTTCCCAAAACATGACCAAATATATATATAAAAAAAATTATATATGGGTACTAATTCTGTAAATGTAGTAAAAAAATTGGTTAAATGAATAATTGTGGGCAGTTATTCATGCTTAAAAGGTTTAAGCTTCACTTAAACAGTCAAATATTGTTGCTATTTCAGAGCAATTGCTGCTGTCAGGTCTGCTAATAGCAAAGAAACAAACTGCCATGTGTCATGTGCTCCCCCTTGTGGTGGATACGGGAACGTCACCGTTGTGTAACTGAAAGTCAGACTTATTTCAGAGGATTTTAATAGGAGAGGAAAACATTTTTTAAAATGTTAATGTATGTTTATTTTTCTGTTCTCTGGGTCCATCAGATGGCGCTGTGTCAAAAAGGAAACAACTTTTGGTCAACCAGTTGGCTTCAAGTGGTGAACAGCGGCCCCCCTCTCCACCTGGGTCACCTCCATCAGCTCCTCTCCTAATGAACTCCCCACAAGCAGAAACTCTGCCTAACAACCAGGAAATCAGCCCTGCTGTGGCTGCTGCCTTACTGCAGCTTATATCTCAGCCAGACCGGGAAGCTGTGACCTCCAAGCGAAGTAAGGACCCTTCCCCGGCTGTAGATGCTGCAGGCCATGAAGAGCTTCCCCCACCCTGGGTTCCAGACTCTCCAGTTAAACCTTCAGCTCCTGCTGAGGCTCCAGCAGTGTTAGCCTCCTCTGCTCCCACCTCACTGCAGTTCCCAAAGGACCAGGACCTCCGGTTTTCCCACGGAGCAGCTCGCTGACTTTAATATTGGGTGTCATTGGACAGCTCCAGCAATTCAGACCTAAAAGGAAAGGCAGATGGAGAATGCAGCCACAGAAAGTGAGTCACTGGACCAAGAGCAGGTAGTGAAAGTCAAAGATTTTGAAAATGAATGTCTAAATGAAAGAGATTTAGTTTTTTTTTCTCCAGGTAATGAACATTTTGCCTGATGGAGCAAGCTGGTCTGTTGCGTCAGTGGAGGTTTCTGGACAGGGGGGTCATCCCATCCTAAGATGGTTCAGTTTGCATCACTCACCGCCTCCAAATCATTGCTCTTTTTCCCAACACCGATGAGGCTGGACTAATAAACTGAGTGCTATGCAACTGACACTTAACTCTTAGTACCCCCCTCCCTTCTAAATGATTGTCACTTCCGCTGCGGTGGCTCTTCAGTGCGTTTATCAGTGTTAAGTATAGTGTTTTTCAGTTTATTCTTAGTGCTAGCTCCCGTTTACAGTCTGATGTCACCGTCGTGGCGCCAGCCGCCCTTTCCTGGCATGTGGGAGACTGTTGCTTCAGGTCTGTGTATGTTGCAGAAGCATTTGTTTTGTTTTATGCCCAGAAACGTTGCATCCTGGGATGTACTGCCCTTATTGAACCGTGGCCCTCCTACATGCAGCAGTGGTTTCTGTTTTTACTGAGCCCCTGGATGGAAGGATTATATCAAACATTATAAATGACATCTCTGCACAATCCTACTCTGCTAGTTGACATTAAGTTGAAATAAACGCTCATACTGGTTCACCTGGATTTCCTCTGTGGACCCTTAACGCTTCATCCACCCCCCCCTTTTTTCTTTCTGTCGACAAGATTATTTTCTATCTGAAGTGACAAAGCGTGTTAAAAAGTGATGATTAGCCATTCTGCTTCAGATTTTCTTGCTTTAAAAACAAAAGGGAAAGATAACGTCTGTAAAATAAAAGGCGGAATAAAAGAAAAAACAAACTTTCGAATGTTTTTTTGGGGCGGGAGTGGTAGTTCATTAAAAAAATATGCCACTAGATGAATTTGTTTTTTTTACTGCCTGTTTGATTCTGTGTGGATTGACCACTAGATGGTAGGCATTTCCTAGTGAAGGTCAAAGGATTTTTTTTTTATTATATAAAGTGAGGTCAAGTCACAATCAGTATTTCATTTTTAGTTTGCAGGCTGTTTTTGGCAAAAGAAACACTTTGATTGCAGGATACTAATAAAATGAGCTCAGGTGTGCAATAAAAGATGAGTGGAAACCTGCAATACAGCAACAAAAATCAAACTATTTGTAAGAAGTCTCATTTGGATTTTTTTTTTTTTTATTAGTCTTAAGTATTTCTTATTGACAGTGGTTAAATATCCACATTATTCCCAGTTTAAGCTTAATTATGTGATATACTACCTTTAAAGTAGTATTGGGTTGTCTCTATCTGCTTTGTATGTCTATGTACTGTTTTAATCAATTGCAAAAGAAGGTTTTAATTAGCTTTGGCCTTTGAGACGTTCCAGTACATGGCCTTGTTCTCAAATATTTTACAATTTCTATCACAATTTCATCTAAGATTTCGCTGTATTTGCTTTCACATATCGGCGATTAACTTTTCAGTTTCTAAAGAAGAAAACCAATCCCACTGGATGATGCTGCATCTTCGTTTCTAGGGATGGTGTAGTCGGAGTGATGCACACTTAGTTTGCCCCTTAACCCTTTAAAGCCCGATCCAAGAATAAAACAAAACAGAAAATTACTCTTTTTTTTTGGTTTGAAGTCTTATTTGCCCTTTTAACAAAATATGTAAAAAGAAAAAACAGAAATACATTTTTGATATTAATAATTTATTACTATGCGATAAGTCAAGATTATTTTTGTGTAGTCTTCTGCCCTCTGTTATCAGGTATATCTGATTATGTACAATAGGATTTTGAGCAAAGTTTTTACCATTAAATTATGCAAAAGATGTCAGATGCAAAACATTTCAGAAACCGTATGTATCAAATACGATACATTTGGCATTATAGGGTTAAACAAGGTTTAAATGCAGTTCAAAAAAGTTCAGTTTTGATTTCATGTAACTTTTGAAAAACTGCTCATGAGACAAAAATACGTTTTTTATTAGCTGCAGTCTGCTGGCCGCTCCTGGATAGAGCTCAGATTTGAGAACTTTCCATCTCCAACTTGTCGTCCTATCATACCTGAGCAGTGATCCTCTGCACATCCTCCAGAGCTGCAATAAGCTTCTTGGCTGCATCTTAGTATGAGATACAGTTTAGGTTAATAGAATGTGAATAAAGAGAGTGATATTTTAGATATTGTTTTATAAAATACATTAAAAACCCTACAATTCCCTTCTAATCAAGTGTTGATTTCACATAAACTTTAACTGCCTTCCATTTTGTTTTTATGGGGGCAAAAAAAGTCCTCCGTATATATTAATACAATTGCATGTAGATGTAGAAACAGTAATCTTTGCACCATAGGATTAGAAATAGTTGTTGGAGATATAGCAATCTTTTTCTTTTCACCAATACATATTTTTGTTCATCTCTCTCTATTTGGATTATTTCTAAATTCCTCTCTACGGAATGAAACATTTTCAAACATAATTCAGTCAATTATCTTTCTCTTATAAAATAAAGATTTCAATGCAGTCTCTATTAAAGAAGTGGCATTTATTTGTATTTCTCTGACCTTTACAAAATGTAGAAAATGTACCGCTTTGCCACATTTATAGAGAAGAGAGTTTTCACTTGTAAGGTTTGATAAAATGATAAAAGTTTGAGCTGATTCATCTCCACTTAGTAACCATCCATTAGCAGCTGAATTAGACTTTGTTTTTTAATTAGTATACTTGTATTACTGCCTGAAACCCGATCAAAATAGGAGTTAAATACATTCTGATCCAATCAGATGGAGACGGGAGGTTTTGCGATCATTGCTTCTCCCTGTTCTTCAATCATATTTATACATCACTTATTTCCCCACTTGGTTTGATCTCTCTATGAAGATCTCGACAGGCAGCCAAGTATCATAAACCTTAGATAGCTTCCAAGGATGGTAGAGACTGTGTGTGCGTGTTGGATTGGCTTCACGCACACCCAGACCAGCTCCTCACTTGGCAAGCTTACAGAGCCGCTTACCCCTCTGGCCCAGCGAGCAGCTGAGCCCTCTGGGTGAGAGATCCATTTGGAGAGGAGGCGGAGGGAGGCTCACCTGCCCTCTAGCACAGGCCCAGTGTGAATGAGATGAGACGGTGCTGCATTCTGTCTGATGCCTCCGCCCGTCGGGACTCCAAATAATAGTGAATGTGCCCGCAGGGAGTTTCCACTGGAGGATGTAGTGGGCAATGCCAGTGCCAAGTCACAAAGACGAGATGAATAAATCAGGGCTGAGGAGTGACGAGAGGGAGGCGAGTTAGGCAGTGCCATTAATCAGAAAAGCACCTTATGGGGAATGCCCAAAAATGTGCCAATCTGAAGCCTGCCGTCGCCATGGCAGGGACAGTCAACGGCGGTGAAAACCGAGCCTCCATTTTGAATGCTGGCACTTCGATCAGCTGCAGCAATTCTGGTAGATTTCCAGACAAACGGTGAAATTACTGAGTGTCTATTTCAGTCTATTCATGCTCTATTTAATTTAATGAATATTTGTATTTTTATGACACAGATTGATCACATTTTTCACTCGCTTTCAGATCTGCTGTCAAGTTATATAAAAAAAAAACTTGATTTGGGTCCAATCAGTCATTTGGTGTCATTTGGATGTTTCAATAGACTTTATTTAAGACAGCATGCAAAAAGGCAAATTTAATGGCAAATATACAGGCAAATCTTTATCTTAAAGAGAAATAGAGGTTTATCTTTTTTTTTTTTTTTTTTACAAGATTTTCACAGTGTGCCACTCCGACCTCAGGTGTTCTACTTCTGAGGAGGAAATAAAGCAGTTTGATCCATTTTTGATCAATTTAAATCAAATAAACAACTTGCATGTGATATTTAAATAAAAAAACAAAAATAAATATGACAGATTTGTTTCAAGGAGGCATTTCAGGATCACTTCTAAAATGTTTAATAAATGTGACTAATTTGTTTATATCTAAATTGAATATTTAATTTAAAGCTATCAAATGATATTGATAAAACGTTCCTCTTTACTTCCAAACAGATCGCTCCGATGACAATGTTTACGTGTCGTCATAGGGAGCAGTTTGCCGGTTTGATGACCGAGGCTGTTTGATCAGCTTGTGAAGTCACTATGGAGAGGCAGCGACTTCAATGGCTCCACATCCAAGACACACACAGCAAAACTAAACAAAAAAATACAAATATTAGCCCAGAACACCCAAATATTGATCTTGTATATATTAAAAGTTAAACACAGTTGTTTAGATTCTTGCACCTTTTTTTGCACTTTCACTTGAACAAAATTATCATCAAAATCTTTAGATTAAGACAGCTTGCCCGTAAATATTTCTGTCTCCATCAGCTCTTCTTTGTTTTCTATCAAATAAAATTTAATGTCAGCCATTTTGTTTATGAGTACATCTCAGTTAATGCTACATTTCAAAAACATATTCAGTTTCTCCCAGCTGTGATGTATGCTTTACTGCTGAAACAGCAGGCTTTATAGATACCATAACGCAGCCCCCCCATTTCTACCTATTTTATAGTTTTCTAGGAACACATGCTAGTTACGTCTTGAATTTTGGCAGGGCTCTAAGTGAACCGTAACTCACAGGCGACATGTTTAGAAATGCAGCTTTTAAAAAAATGCTCAAACCTTTGGTGTCATAATTTAAAGAAAACAAAATCCTTGTTTCGTGTGTGGAGGTTGGGAGAAATTACAAGGCAAGGCAAATTTATTTGTATAGCACAATTCAGTACAAAGACAATGCAAAGTGCTTTACATGATTAAAATACAGGAAGATAAAACAGAATCAAAGCAAGTAGGAAAAAAAATGCAGAAACAAAAAAGAATATTAAAAACAGTTGGACTAAAGAAAATATGTTTTAGTTGAACTGTTTAACTAGAACAGTTGAAGGCAATCCTAAACAAATGTGTTTTTAGTCTTGATTTAAAGGAACTCAGGCTTTCCGCACTTTTCCAGTTTTCTGGAAGTTTGTTCCAGATAAGTGGAGCATAGAAACTAAATGCTGCTTCTCCATGTTTAGTTCTGGTTCTAGGTATGCAGAGCAGGATGGAGCCAGAAGACCTGAGTGGTCTGGAGGGTTGATACACTGATAGCAAGTCTGATGTATTTAGGTGCTAAGCCATTCAGAGATTTATAGACTAACAGAAGTATTTTAAAGTCTATTCTCTGAGATACAGGGAGCCAGTGTAAGGACTTTAGAACTGGGGTGATGTGCTCTACTTTCTTAGTCTTAGTGAGGACACGGGCAGCAGCGTTCTGGATCAGCTGCAGCTGTCTGATCCACTTTTTAGGCAGACCTGTGAAAACACCGTTGCAGTGATCAATTCGACTTAAAATAAGCGCATGGGTTAGTTTTTCCAGATCATGCTGAGACATTAGTCCTTTAATCCTGGAAATGTTCTTCAGGTGATAGAAAGCCGACCTTGTAATTGTCTTTAAATGCTTTTGGAGGTTCAAGTCTGAAACAAGGATTCACTAGCTGTTTAGAAATTATTTTACTAAGCTTAATAATACGTGGTTTATATTCATTTACTATATATGAACGCTTTAATAAAAAATAAAAAAAAAATATATATATATATATATATATATATATTGAAACCATACTTTAAAGGCCAATAACCCCCTTTCCAAAGACATTTGATCTTTAAACTACAAAAAATTAAATACTTTTTTAGGTATATGTGAAGATCTCCATCTGTATTATCACATCATGTTTGTTAATTTCTGATTATATCATTCCAAAATTGATGTCTACTTCAGGGTAGACCAAAATTGGTAAATACACTTTAAAAAACAATGAGAAAATATCAACAGTGTGTGTTTGCTGCTCCAGACTAAGTAAGGCTGAGTTAATATTAACCGTCTAGTCCAAAGGTTCAGTTCTACAATTATTAACTCTGCTTTACTTGGAAAAAGGGTTAATTACGTCATCCACCTGGAATCGTCTGACAAGTTACAACTTCCATCATCAAATAGCAGATGTCCAGCGATCTTTTTACCTTACTAGAGTGTTGGATGTGAGAATGCCTGTGCTGGCCTTGACGATTCTATGTATTTTCAATAGTATAATCCTTTTATAAAGATGTCCATGATCTAATCAAAACCATTAGTTCTTTCACCTCAATCATTCAAGAGTTGACAGAGGTTGGTCTGATCATTCAATGTTGAGGTCAACACAAAGAGTTTAATCATTGCAGCTTAAGAACCAGGCCCTTAATACATAAT